CACGTGTGTGTCCTCAGGGCTGGACACGTGTGTGTCCTCAGGGCTAGACACGTGTGTGTCCTCAGGGCTGGACACGTGTGTGTCCTCAGGGCTGGACACGTGTGTGTCCTCAGGGCTGGACACGTGTGTGTCCTCAGGGCTGGACACATGTGTGTCCTCAGGGCTGGACACATGTGTGTCCTCAGGGCTGGACACATGTGTGTCCTCAGGGCTGGACACGTGTGTGTCCTCAGGGCTGGACACGTGTGTCCTCAGGGCTGGACACGTGTGTGTCCTCAGGGCTGGACACGTGTGTCCTCAGGGCTGGACACATGTGTGTCCTCAGGGCTGGACACATGTGTGTCCTCAGGGCTGGACACATGTGTGTCCTCAGGGCTGGACACGTGTGTCCTCAGGGCTGGACACGTGTGTGTCCTCAGGGCTGGACACGTGTGTCCTCAGGGCTGGACACATGTGTGTCCTCAGGGCTGGACACATGTGTGTCCTCAGGGCTGGACACATGTGTGTCCTCAGGGCTGGACACATGTGTGTCCTCAGGGCTAGACACGTGTGTGTCCTCAGGGCTGGACACGTGTGTGTCCTCAGGGCTGGACACGTGTGTGTCTTCAGGGCTGGACACGTGTGTCCTCAGGGCTGGACACGTGTGTCCTCAGGGCTGGACACGTGTGTGTCCTCAGGGCTGGACATGTGTGTGTCCTCAGGGCTGGACACGTGTGTGTCCTCAGGGCTGGACACGTGTGTGTCCTCAGGGCTGGACACGTGTGTCCTCAGGGCTGGACACGTGTGTGTCCTCAGGGCTGGGTACGTGTGTCCTCAGGGCTGGACACGTGTGTGTCCTCAGGGCTGGACACGTGTGTCCTCAGGGCTGGACACGTGTGTGTCCTCAGGGCTGGGCACGTGTGTCCTCAGGGCTGGACACGTGTGTGTCCTCAGGGCTGGACACGTGTGTGTCCTTAGGGCTGGGTACGTGTGTCCTCAGGGCTGGACACGTGTGTCCTCAGGGCTGGGCACGTGTGTGTCCTCAGGGCTGTGCACGTGTGTGTCCTCAGGGCTGGACACGTGTGTCCTCAGGGCTGGGCACGTGTGTGTCCTCAGGGCTGGGCACGTGTGTGTCCTCAGGGCTGGGCACGTATGTGTCCTCAGGGCTGTGCACGTGTGTGTCCTCAGGGCTGTGCACGTGTGTGTCCTCAGTGCTGGGCACGTGTGTGTCCTCAGGGCTGGGCACGTGTGTGTCCTCAGGGCTGTGCACGTATGTGTCCTCAGGGCTGTGCACGTATGTGTCCTCAGGGCTGGGCACGTGTGTGTCCTCAGGGCAGGGCACGTGTGTGTCCTCAGGGCTGGACACGTGTGTGTCCTCAGGGCAGGGCACATGTGTGTCCTCAGGGCTGGACACGTGTGTCCTCAGGGCTGGGCACGTGTGTCCTCAGGGCTGGGCACGTGTGTGTCCTCAGGGCTGGGCACGTGTGTGTCCTCAGGGCAGGGCACATGTGTGTCCTCAGGGCTGGACACGTGTGTCCTCAGGGCTGGGCACGTGTGTGTCCTCAGGGCTGGACACGTGTGTCCTCAGGGCTGGGTACGTATGTGTCCTCAGGGCAGGGCACGTGTGTGTCCTCAGGGCTGGACACGTGTGTGTCCTCAGGGCAGGGCACGTGTGTGTCCTCAGGGCTGGGCACGTGTGTGTCCTCAGGGCTGGACACGTGTGTGTCCTCAGGGCTGGACACATGTGTGTCCTCAGGGCTGGACACGTGTGTGTCCTCAGTGCTGGACACGTGTGTGTCCTCAGGGCTGGACACATGTGTGTCCTCAGGGCTGGACACGTGTGTGTCCTCAGGTCTGGGCACGTGTGTCCTCAGGGCTGGGCACGTGTGTGTCCTCAGGGCTGGGTACGTGTGTGTCCTCAGGGCTGGGAACGTGTGTGTCCTCAGGGCTGGGTACGTATGTGTCCTCAGGGCTGGACACGTGTGTGTCCTCAGGGCTGGGCACGTGTGTGTCCTCAGGGCTGGACACGTGTGTGTCCTCAGGGCTGGACACGTGTGTCCTCAGGGCTGGACACGTGTGTGTCCTCAGGGCTGGGCACGTGTGTCCTCAGGGATGGACACGTGTGTGTCCTCAGGGCTGGGCACGTGTGTGTCCTCAGGGCTGGGCACGTGTGTCCTCAGGGCTGGACACGTGTGTCCTCAGGGCTGGACACGTGTGTGTCCTCAGGGCTGGACACGTGTGTGTTCTCAGGGCTGGACACGTGTGTGTCCTCAGGGCTGGACACGTGTGTGTCCTCAGGGCTGTGCACGTGTGTGTCCTCAGGGCTAGACACGTGTGTGTCCTCAGGGCTTGACACGTGTGTGTCCTCAGGGCTGTGCACGTGTGTGTCCTCAGGGCTGGGCACGTGTGTCCTCAGGGCCGGACACGTGTGTCCTCAGGTCTGGGTACGTGTGTCCTCAGGGCTGTGCACGTGTGTGTCCTCAGGGCTGGACACGTGTGTGTCCTCAGGGCTGTGCACGTGTGTGTCCTCAGGGCTGGGCACGTGTGTCCTCAGGGCTGGACACGTGTGTGTCCTCAGGGCTGGGTACGTGTGTCCTCAGGGCTGGACACGTGTGTGTCCTCAGGGCTGGACACGTGTGTCCTCAGGGCTGGACACGTGTGTGTCCTCAGGGCTAGACACGTGTGTGTCCTCAGGGCTGGACACGTGTGTGTCCTCAGGGCTGTGCACGTGTGTGTCCTCAGGGCTGTGCACGTGTGTGTCCTCAGGGCTGTGCACGTGTGTGTCCTCAGGGCTGGACACGTGTGTGTCCTCAGGGCTGGACACATGTGTGTCCTCAGGGCTGGACACGTGTGTGTCCTCAGTGCTGGACACGTGTGTGTCCTCAGGGCTGGGTACGTGTGTCCTCAGGGCTGGACACGTGTGTGTCCTCAGGGCTGGACACGTGTGTCCTCAGGGCTGGACACGTGTGTGTCCTCAGGGCTAGACACGTGTGTGTCCTCAGGGCTGGACACGTGTGTGTCCTCAGGGCTGTGCACGTGTGTGTCCTCAGGGCTGTGCACGTGTGTGTCCTCAGGGCTGTGCACGTGTGTGTCCTCAGGGCTAGACACGTGTGTGTCCTCAGGGCTGGACACGTGTGTCTTCAGGGCTGGGCACGTGTGTGTCCTCAGGGCTGGACACATGTTGTGTCCTCAGGGCTGGACACGTGTACCCTCAGGGCTGGACACGTGTGTGTCCTCAGGGCTGTGCACGTGTGTCCTCAGGGCTGGACACGTGTGTGTCCTCAGGGCTGGGTACGTGTGTCCTCAGGGCTGGACACGTGTGTCCTCAGGGCTGGACACATGTGTGTCCTCAGGGCTGGATACGTGTGTGTCCTCAGGGCTGGACACGTGTACCCTCAGGGCTGTGCACGTGTGTGTCCTCAGGGCTGGACACGTGTGTGTGTCCTCAGGGCTGTGCACGTGTGTCCTCAGGGCTGTGCACGTGTGTGTCCTCAGGGCTGTGCACGTGTGTGTCCTCAGGGCTGGACACGTGTGTGTCCTCAGGGCTGTGCACGTGTGTCCTCAGGGCTGGACACGTGTGTGTCCTCAGGGCTGTGCACGTGTGTCCTCAGGGCTGGACACGTGTGTGTCCTCAGGGCTGTGCACGTGTGTCCTCAGGGCTGTGCACGTATGTGTCCTCAGGGCTGGGCACGTGTGTGTCCTCAGGGCTGAACACGTGTGTCCTCAGGGCTGGGCACGTGTGTGTCCTCAGGGCTGTGCACGTGTTTAGGTCTACTCCCAGGTCTTACCTATCCTCAACTGACCATTCACCGTGACAATGATAATGACCTTACCTTCTCCTAGGTATTATCTTCACCTCTGACCTGCCTCCCACCACATTCGTGCCTTATTCATGCCCGTGCCACCTCTAGGGTGGTCCAGGGCGGACCGAAACGACGTCGTCAGTTCATCTTGTGTGTTGTTAGGTGGTCACTGCGATAACTGCCTCTCTGACTCCACCAGTGTTGGTGTGTTGTTAGGTGGTCACTGCGATAACTGCCTCTCTGACTCCACCAGTGTTGGTGTGTTGTTAGGTGGTCACTGCGATAACTGCCTCTCTGACTCCACCAGTGTTGGTGTGTTGTTAGGTGGTCACTGCGATAACTGCCTCTCTGACTCCACCAGTGTTGGTATAATTGTCTGTCCAGGGTAATTCTTTCAATGTTTTCACCCTCTGAATCACCGTCACTGTTCAAGTGGGTTGTTTAAGTCTCACTGCGACCGGCATACAATAATGAGGGTGAGGGGACCTGGGGAGAGGTAGGCAAGGTTATCTTCAGGATATTTTGAGATGATTTCGGGGCTTTCCGTCCCCGCGGCCCGGTCCTCGACCAGGCCTCCACCCCTAGGAAGCAGCCCGTAGCAGCTGTCTAACTCCCAGGTACCTATTTACTGATAGGTAACAAGGGGCCTCAGGGTAAAAGAAACATTTTGCCCATTTGTCTCCGCCTCCAGCGGGGATCGAACCCGGACCGTCAGGACTTCAAATCCGAAGCGCTGTCCACTCAGCTGTCAAGCGGGAAAAGGAAATTGGGTTTAATTGTCTACTATTAGCAGTAGTAGCCCCTACAAGTAGCAGGGGCCTCGTAGCCTAGTGGATAGCGCGCAGGACTCGTAATTCTGTGGCGCGGGTTCGATTCCCTCACGAGGCAGAAACAAATGTGCAAAGTTTCTTTCACCCCGAATGCCCCTGTTACCTAGCAGTAAATAGGTACCTGGGAGTTAGTCAGCTGTCACTGGCTGCTTCCTGGGAGTGGAGGCCTGGTCGAGGACCGGGCCGCGGGGACTCTAAAGCCCCGAAATCATCTCAAGATAACCTCAATTGTCTACTATTTGGGGAATTCAAGGCAGAGGAACAATACTATTGGAAGCCTCGGAGAGATGGGCGAGAATTCAAGGCGGAGACGTTGGATAAAACATTTGTTTTAGCAAGGTCAGGATTTATCCTACTGTTGTGGTTGGCACGCGGGTTATCGAGCTAGGGTAGCAGCAGTACAAGTAGCAGCAGTACAAGTAGCAGCAGTACAAGTAGCAGCAGTACAAGTAGCAGCAGTACAAGTAGCAGCAGTACAAGTAGTAGCAGTACAAGTAGCAGCAGTACAAGTAGCAGCAGTACAAGTAGCAGCAGTACAAGTAGCAGCAGTACAAGTAGCAGCAGTACAAGTAGCAGCAGTACAAGTAGCAGCAGTACAAGTAGCAGCAGTACAAGTAGCAGCAGTACAAGTAGCAGCAGTACAAGTAGCAGCAGTACAAGTAGCAGCAGTACAAGTAGCAGCAGTACAAGTAGCAGCAGTACAAGTAGCAGCAGTACAAGTAGCAGCAGTACAAGTAGCAGCAGTACAAGTAGCAGCAGTACAAGTAGCAGCAGTACAAGTAGCAGCAGTACAAGTAGCAGCAGTACAAGTAGCAGCAGTACAAGTAGCAGCAGTACAAGTAGCAGCAGTACAAGTAGTAGCAGTACAAGTAGCAGCAGTACAAGTAGCAGCAGTACAAGTAGCAGCAGTACAAGTAGCAGCAGTACAAGTAGCAGCAGTAGAAGTAGCAGCAGTAGAAGTAGTAGCAGCAGTCGAAGTAGCAGCAGTAGAAGTAGTAGCACCAGTAGAAGTAGCAGCAGTAGAAGTAGTAGCACCAGTAGAAGTAGTAGCAGTAGAAGTAGCAGCAGTAGTAGTAGTAGCAGTAGTAGTAGCAGCAGTAGAAGTAGCAGCAGTAGAAGTAGTAGCAGTAGAAGTAGTAGCAGCAGTAGAAGTACCAGCAGTAGAAGTAGTAGCAGTAGTAGAAGTAGCAGTAGTAGTAGTAGCAGTAGTAGTAGCAGCAGTAGAAGTAGCAGCAGTAGAAGTAGTAGCAGCAGTAGAAGTAGCAGCAGTAGAAGTAGCAGCAGTAGAAGTAGTAGCAGTAGAAGTAGCAGCAGTAGAAGTAGTAGCAGTAGAAGTAGTAGCAGCAGTAGAAGTAGTAGCCGCAGTAGAAGTAGCAGCAGTAGAAGTAGTAGCAGCAGTAGAAGTAGTAGCAGCAGTAGAAGTAGCAGCAGTAGAAGTAGTAGCAGCAGTAGAAGTAGCAGCTGTAGAAGTAGCAGCAGTAGAAGTAGTAGCAGCAGTAGAAGTAGCAGCAGTAGAAGTAGCAGCAGTAGAAGTAGAAACAGTAGAAGTAGTAGCAGCAGTAGAAGTAGCAGCAGTAGAAGTAGCAGCAGTAGAAGTAGTAGCAGCAGTAGTAGTAGCAGTAGCACCAGTAGAAGTAGAAGCAGTAGAAGTAGTAGCAGCAGTAGAAGTAGTAGCAATAAAAGTAGCAGCAGTATAAGTACCAGCAGTAGAAGTAGCAGCAGTAGTAGTAGCAGCAGTAGAAGTAGTAGCAGTAGTAGTAGCAGCAGTAGAAGTACCAGCAGTAAAAGTAGTAGCAGTAGAAGTAATAGCAGTAGAAGTAGTAGCAGTAGAAGTAGTAGCAGTAGAAGTAGTAGCAGCAGTAGAAGTAGTAGCCGCAGTAGAAGTAGTAGCAGCAGTAGAAGTAGTAGCAGCAGTAGAAGTAGCAGCAGTAGAAGTAGTAGCAGCAGTAGAAGTAGCAGCTGTAGAAGTAGCAGCAGTAGAAGTAGTAGCAGCAGTAGAAGTAGCAGCAGTAGAAGTAGCAGCAGTAGAAGTAGAAGCAGTAGAAGTAGTAGCAGCAGTAGAAGTAGCAGCAGTAGAAGTAGCAGCAGTAGAAGTAGTAGCAGCAGTAGTAGTAGCAGTAGCACCAGTAGAAGTAGAAGCAGTAGAAGTAGTAGCAGCAGTAGAAGTAGTAGCAATGAAAGTAGCAGCAGTATAAGTACCAGCAGTAGAAGTAGCAGCAGTAGTAGTAGCAGCAGTAGAAGTAGTAGCAGTAGTAGTAGCAGCAGTAGAAGTACCAGCAGTAAAAGTAGTAGCAGTAGAAGTAATTGCAGTAGAAGTAGTAGCAGTAGAAGTAGCAGCAGTAGAAGTACAAGCAGCAGAAGTAGCAGAAGTAGAAGTACAAGCAGTAGAAGTAGCAGCAGTAGTAGTAGCAGTAGAAGTAGTAGCAGCAGTAGAAGTACCAGCAGTAGAAGTAGCAGCAGTAGTAGTAGCAGCAGTAGAAGTAGTAGCAGTAGTAGTAGCAGCAGTAGAAGTACCAGCAGTAAAAGTAGTAGCAGTAGAAGTACCAGCAGTAGAAGTAGTAGCAGTAGAAGTAGCAGCAGTAGAAGTACAAGCAGTAGAAGAAGCAGCAGTAGAAGTACCAGCAGTAGAAGTAGTAGCAGCAGTAGAAGTAGTAGCAGCAGTAGAAGTAGTAGCAGCAGTAGAAGTAGTAGCAGCCATAGAAGTAGCAGCAGTAGAAGTAGTAGCAGTAGAAGTAGTAGCACCAGTAGAAGTAGCAGCAGTAGAAGTAGTAGCAGTAGAGGTAGCAGCAGTAGAAGTAGCAGCAGTAGAAGTAGTAGCAGTAGAAGTACCAACAGTAGAAGTAACAGCAGTAGAAGTAGCAGCAGTAGAAGTAGTAGCAGCAGTAGAAGTAGCAGCAGTAGAAGTAGTAGCAGTAGAAGTAATAGCACCAGTAGAAGTAGCAGCAGTAGAAGTAGTAGCAGTAGAAGCAGTAGCACCAGTAGAAGTAGCACCAGTAGTAGTAGTAGCAGTAGAAGTAGTAGCAGTAGAAGTAGTAGCAGCAGTAGAAGTAGTAGCAGTAGAAATAGTAGCAGCAGTAGTAGTAGCAGCAGTAGAAGTAGTAGCAGTAGAAGTAGTAGCAGCAGTAGTAGTAGCAGCAGTAGAAGTAGTAGCAGTAGAAGTAGTAGCAGCAGTAGTAGTAGCAGCAGTAGAAGTAGCAGCAGCAGTAGAAGTAGTAGCAGCAGTAGAAGTAGTAGCAGCAGTAGTAGTAGCAGCAATAGAAGTAGTAGCAGCAGTAGAAGTGTAGTTGCAGCAGTTATAGTAGCAGCAGTAGAAGTAGTATCAGCAGTAGTAGTAGCAGCAGTAGAAGTAGCAGCAGTAGTAGAAGTAGTAGCAGTACAAGTAGCAGCAGTAGTAGTAGCAGCAGTAGAAGTAGCAGCAGTAGAAGTAGTAGCAGCAGTAGAAGTAGCAGCAGTAGAAGTAGTAGCAGCAGTAGAAGTAGCAGCAGAAGTAGTAGCAGCAGTAGAAGCAGTAGCAGCAGTAGAAGTAGCAGCAGTAGAAGTAGTAGCAGCAGTAGAAGTAGCAGCAGTAGAAGTAGTAGCAGCAGTAGAAGTTGCAGCAGAAGTAGTAGCAGCAGTAGTAGTAGCAGCAGTAGAAGTTCCAGCAGTAGAACTAGCAGCAGCAATAGAAGTAGCACCAGCAGTAGAAGAAGTAGCAGTAGAAGTAGCAGTAGAAGTAGCAGTAGAAGTAGTAACAGTAGAAGTAGCAGCAGTAGAAGTAGTAGCAGTAGAAGTAGTAGCAGTAGAAGTAGCAGCAGTAGAAGTAGTAGCAGTAGAAGTAGTAGCAATAGAACTAGCAGCAGCAGTAGAAGTAGCACCAGCAGTAGAAGAAGTAGCAGTAGAAGTAGCAGTAGAAGTAGTAACAGTAGAAGTAGCAGCAGTAGAAGTAGTAGCATTGGAAGTAGCAGTAGTAGAAGTAGTAGCAGTAGAAGTAGTAGCAGTAGAAGTAGCAGCAGTAGTAGAAGTAGCAGCAGTAGAAGTAGCAGCAGTAGAAGTAGTAGCAGTAGAAGTAGTAGCAGCAGTAGAAGTAGAAGCAGTAGAAGTAGTAGCAGTAGAAGTAGTAGCAGTAGAAGTACCAGCATTAGAAGTAGTAGCAGTGGAAGTAGTAGCAGTAGAAGTAGTAGCAGCAGTAGAAGTAGTATCAGCAGTAGTAGTAGCAGCAGTAGAAGTAGCAGCAGTAGTAGAAGTAGTAGCAGTAGAAGTAGCAGCAGTAGTAGTAGCAGCAGTAGAAGTAGCAGCAGTAGAAGTAGTAGCAGCATAGAAGTAGCAGCAGTAGAAGTAGTAGCAGCAGTAGAAGTAGCAGCAGAAGTAGTAGCAGCAGTAGAGGCAGTAGCAGCAGAAGAAGTACCAGCAGTAGAAGTAGTAGCAGCAGTAGAAGTAGCAGCAGTAGAAGTAGTAGCAGCAGTAGAAGTTGCAGCAGAAGTAGTAGCAGCAGTAGTAGTAGCAGCAGTAGAAGTTCCAGCAGTAGAACTAGCAGCAGCAGTAGAAGTAGTAACAGTAGAAGTAGCAGCAGTAGAAGTAGTAACAGTAGAAGTAGCAGCAGTAGAAGTAGTATCAGTAGAAGTAGTAGTAGCAATAGAAGTAGCAGCAGTAGAAGTAGTAGCAGTAGAAAAGTAGTAGCAGTAGTAGAAGTAGCAGCAGTAGAAGTAGTAGCAGTAGAAGTAGTAGCAGTAGAAGTAGCAGCAGTAGAAGTAGTAGCAGTAGAAGTAGTAGCAGCAGTAGAAGTAGTAGCAGTGGAAGTAGCAGTAGTAGAAGTAGTAGCAGTAGAAGTAGTAGCAGTAGAAGTAGTAGCAGTAGTAGAAGTAGCAGCAGTAGAAGTAGCAGCAGTAGAAGTAGTAGCAGTAGAAGTAGTAGCAGCAGTAGAAGTAGAAGCAGTAGAAGTAGTATCAGTAGAAGTAGTAGCAGCAGTAGAAGTAGCAGCAGTAGAAGTAGTAGCAGTAGAATTAGTAGCAGCAGTAGAAGTAGCAGCAGTAGAAGTAGCAGCAGTAGAAGTAGCAGCAGTTGAAGTAGCAGCAGTAGAAGTAGCAGCACAAGTAGCAGCAGTAGAAGTAGCAGCAGTAGAAGTAGCAGCAGTAGAAGTAGCAGCAGTAGAAGTAGTAGCAGTAGAAGTAGTAGCAGTAGCAGTAGAAGTAGCAGCAGTAGAAGTAGCAGCATTAGAAGTTGCAGCAGTAGAAGTAGTAGCAGTAGAAGTAGCAACAGTAGAAGTAGTAGCATTAGAAGTAGCAGCAGTAGAAGTAGTAGCAGTAGAAGTAGCAACAGTAGAAGTAGCAGCAGTAGAAGTAGTAGCAGCAGTAGAAGCAGTAGAAGTAGAAGCAGTAGAAGTAGCAGCAGTAGAAGTAGTAGCAGTAGCAGCAGTAGAAGTAGTAGCAGTAGAAGTAGCAGCAGTAGGAGTAGCAGCAGTAGAAGTAGTAGCAGCAGTAGAAGTAGTAGCAGTAGAAGTAGCAGCAGTAGAAGTAGCAGCAGTAGAAGTAGTAACAGTAGAAGTAGCAGCAGTAAATGTAGCAGCAGTAGAAGTAGCAGCAGTAAAAATGGCAGCAGTAGAAGTAGCAGCAGTAGAAGTAGTAGCAGTAGCAGCAGTAGAAGTAGTAGCAGTAGCAGCAGTAGAAGTAGTAGCAGTAGAAGTAGCAACAGTAGAAGAAGCAGCAGTAGAAGTAGTAGCAGCAGTAGAAGCAGTAGAAGTAGAAGCAGTAGAAGTAGCAGCAGTAGAAGTAGTAGCAGTAGCAGCAGTAGAAGTAGTAGCAGTAGAAGTAGCAGCAGTAGAAGTAGTAGCAGTAGCAGCAGTAGAAGTAGTTGCAGTAGAAGTAGCAGCAGTAGGAGTAGCAGCAGTAGAAGTAGTAGCAGCAGTAGAAGTAGTAGCAGTAGAAGTAGCAGCAGTAGAAGTAGCAGCAGTAGAAGTAGTAACAGTAGA